GGGGGGTGCCGTCAAGGGCGATACTTCTCCAGCCCCACCCCCGCGGGGCCCGTCCCACCTTCAGGCCCCCCGCCCGACCGATCTTCGCCTCGGTGCCAGGGGGGAACAGGAGGGCGAGGACGAGGAGTGATACGCAGGGGGCAGGAAGCCCTGACCCGACCATCAGATTTTGCCTGCGTGCCAGGGGGGCAGGAGGGCGAGGAGGGCGAGGAGGGCGAGGAGGGCGAGGAGGAGGAGGAGGAGGAGGAGGAGGAGGAGGAGGAGGAGGAGGGTGCATCAGCAAAGGGGATTTTAGCAGCGTCTGTGCTGATGGCGCTGCCGCTGCCCGTCTCGCTCCCCCTCGCTGTTCTCTGCTTGGGCTTCGACCATTTGCCTTCGATCGGAGAACTACGAGAAGACGATGGAGAGGGGAGGTCGTCGCGCAGGAACGCGTCCTGCGGGTTTCTCCATGCCGTTTCTCGGGCTCTCGGGGGCCCTCCGCGGCGGGCCTGGGGCCGCCGACAACACGACCCGGGTTGAGAAGCTGGTCCTGGGGAAAGCCCCCGCGCGTTTCCACCACGACCCTTCTCCTTCATGCTATAGGGCAAATTTTCCACCACCACCACCACCATGAATTGGAGTGGGAAGAGGAGGAGGAGGAGGAGGAGGAGGAGGAGGAGGAGGAGGAGGAGGAGGAGGAGGAGGAGGAGGAGGAGGAGGAGGAGGAGGAGGAGGAGGAGGAGGAGGAGGAGGAGGAGGAGGAGGAGGAGGAGGAGGAGGAGGAGGAGGAGGAAGAATAATAGGAGGAGGATGACCCCCTCCCCCTCCAACTTATGGTGGTGGTGGATAATAAGTCTATCATGCTATTCTCGGCCTCCCTCGGGCTCTTCTCGGGGCCGGGGGGCCGCCAAAAATACCGACGCGCGGTTGGGAACCGATTTCGGTTGTGGGGCCTCACGAGGGGGAGTCACATTCGAAACGCCCCAACATGCTGGCGCTCGCGCGCGTACTGAGGCCATCGCAGCGCACCCCCGCCCCGATGAGAGGATATTCAAAAGCTTGCGGACTTTTCAATGGTTGTTTCGGAGCGTCCAAGAGCACGTTTTGAAGGATGCGTAATCGTTGTTGTAGAAGCGAAGTGGAAGTGTCGGATGGTAGGGTGGCTGGGTGGCCAGTTGCCCCGTTGCATGGTTGCCCCTCCTTTTTGTTTTCACAACACTAAGATATTCTACCCCGATCACCCCCCCAGGGTTATCCGTTACACGTTTTGACTGGACATTCTCATATGATCGTGACCCTTCGTTCATTTTCCCAATGAACTCATAGCATTCAAGGTCGACCCCCCCCGCCATCCTTTGTAACAAATACTATGCGCGCGCACTCGTTTTTCACACATCATAAGTTTCCAAGAATCCTTTGCAGAGAAATGAGGCAGTTCGCACGCGCGCGTCGTAGCGCGCGCATGCCAGAATCCTTCAAATCTTTCGGCTTCGGAAGGATATCAAAATTGAGTGTCCAAAACATGTAAAACACATGGTTTCGCAACGCGGATTTTCAGCAAAAGCGTGCGCGCTCGCTCTTGCGAATTCTGAAGAAAGCCGTGTGTGTATATATATATATATATATATATATATTATATAGAATCATAACATGCTACCACACGGGCTTCGCGCGCGCATGTCGAAATACCCTTGCGCGCGCGCCGTCGCGAGAACCCTTTGCACCAGATGGGGCGCAGTGCGCTCGCGCGCGTCGTCGCGCGCGCATGCCGAATACCTTCAACAACCTTCGGTTTCGGAAGGATCTCAAAATTGAGTGTGCGAAAAACGTAAGACACAGGGTCTCGCAACTCGGGTTTTCAACAAAAGCGTGCGCGCGCACTTGCGAATTCTGTAGAAAACCCAAAGTTCCCAAACTTTTCATATAATGCTTCCAAACGGGCTTCGCGCGCGCATGTGGAAATTGTGTGAACGCCCTTGCGCGCGTGCTGGGATGGCACGATCCGTGTCGCATAAAACCATGCGAACCACTCTCGCGCGTCCGACGCGCGCGCTTTTCGAATGCCTTCCAACGCCTTCATCGCCGACGCGAAGACGCCGTCATCGTCGTCGGCGTGATAAGCATCGGCGCCGTCACTGGCTGCCCCGTCGTCGCTGTCAGCATGGTCGTCGGTCGTCGGGGCTACTGTTGTCGACGGTGCCATGGCACCGCGCCCGCCCCAGTCGCCGACTCGCACTGAAGTGCCCGCTGGGATGTGCCGAGCGGTCATCGCCACCGCCCTCGCGTCGCTCGCGCCAAACTACCTGGCCGTTGCGCGCGCGAGCATGCGCGGGCTAGCGCGGCCGTAGAGATGCACCAGCCAACGCCGAGCACGCATCGCAGTCGCTTCCGCGCGGGGCTTGCAAACCAAGTTGCGGGTGGGTGGGTGGGTGGGATGTTTGTGCGAGCAGTGGAGTGGGCAATTTCAGGTTGAGCATTTGTGAAAAGGAATTAGATTCTACCCCCGTCACCCCCCAGGGTTATCCGTGGCGCGTTTTGTTGGGAAACCCATATGATCGCGACCCTTCGTTCATTCCCCTTATGAGTTCATGCCGCCCCAGGCCAGCCGTCGCGCGATACCTCTGCGACGAATGAGACGAAGTGCACGCGCGCGCGTCGTCGCGCGAGCGTGCCGAAATCCTGCAACAACCTCCGCCTTCGGAGGAATTTCAAAATCGAGCGTCCAGAAACATGCGAATCATACGGTTCTGCAGCGCGGCTTTTCAACGAAAGCCTGCGCGCGCCCTCCTGCGAATTCTTAAGAAAACCATGACATTTTCATATTTCAGCAAGCGTTGACTCCAAATGGATTAGACGATTCAAATCAAGGAACCAGAGGAGCCAAGCATGCTTGGGATCCGCAGCTCAGCAAGCAAGCGCACATGCAAGCGAGCAAGCAAGCGAGCAATCAAGCAAGCAAGCAAGCGCGCAAGCACGCAAGCAAGCAACCATTGGAAACATAAGCATAATCATATGCATATGCATAGGAGTGTTCCGAGGTGGTGCATAGGCATTGGCATACGCATAGGCGTAGACATAGGCGTAGGCATAGGAGTTAGAGGGGAGGCATAGGCGTAGGCATATGCATAGCCATAAGAATTAGACGGGGGCGGGGGGGTGGCATAGGAATTCGGGGCGGGGGGGAGGGGCAAACGCCCCATTGATAAGGTCTGAGTTAGAATTCCTATAGGGCAAGCTTATCTGGTGACAAATGCCACCAAACGGGCTTCGCGCGCGCATGTCGAAATCGTTTGTTTGCCCTTGCGCGCGTGCTTGGGTGGCGCGGTCCGTGTCACATGATGCCATGCGAGCCACTCCTGCGCGTCTGCCGCGCACGCATGTCGAATTCCATCGAAAGCCTTCATCGCCGACGCGAAGACGCCGTCATCGTCGTCGGCGTGAGTGGCATCGGCGCCGTCGCTGGCCGTGTCGTCGTCGCTGTCAACATGCCGCCGACATCGCTACTGCCATCGTCGTCGTGTCTACAATAGTCGACGTTGCCGTGGTACCGCGCCCGCCCAAGTCGCCGACTCGCACTCGAGTGCCCGCTGGGATGCGCCGAGCGGTCAGCGCCGCCGCGGCCGCGTCGGTCGCGCCAAACTACCTGGTCGCTTCGCGCGCGCATGCGCGGGCTGGCGCGGCCGCGGAGATGCGCCAGCCAGCGCCGAGCACTCGTCGCCGTCGCCGCCGCACGAGGTTTGCAAACTAAGTTGCGGTGGGTGGGTGGGATGTTTGCGCGAACAGTGGGGCGCCCGACTTACTGCGAACAGAAATCAATTGCGCCGCAGCTATTTTTCTTTCTATGCAAAAAGGATCCCCCCGGCTTTATCGGTCCACATTTTCGCATTGCAAGTCGCATCTGATTCTTCATTTGTCCTGGGCATACCTTCCCCGGGCCAGCCTGGGTGAAAAGGGCCGTCCGCTGGATTGGGCGCATGCCGCTGCGCTCGATCAGCCTGCCGCGTGCGCGTTGTTTCAGCATCCGCGCGTCAGGGCGCGGCGACGCGCTGAACGGCTGGTTGTTTGATTGCAGCGACATGCGCGGTGCGCGTCGGGGGAGTCTGAGGGCATCGGGGGTGTCCGCGGGCTTTGGAACTGCATTGGAGTGGTGGTGCCGGGCCTGCCCGCGCGAGCGTCGTTGCAATCCCGCGCTCGCCTGGGGGCCGCTGCGGCGGCGTTCGGGGGCGCTTTCGGGGGCCGCGAGTGTGCCCGTGAGCGATTTCGACCAAACGTCACCTCGAGTGCGTGTCGGGGGGTGCCATCGACGCGGGTCGGTGACTGCGCCCCCCGACGCGTGCCCGGGCCTAGGTGGGGTGACCCCGGGTTGGTTTTTCAGCGGGCAGCCCTGGCGACCGCGCATGGCGTTCGGGGCCCCGGGCGTTTTGGGCGAGCGGCGCCCGCCCAGGACGCCCAGGGCGCATTTTGCGCGTCGAGCCCCAAACGCTTGATTGTGCGCCTTCGTGGGCGCACTTTCGATCGAGCTACTCTAGCCCGAGAGCGACCAATGCGCGGTCTGCCATTCTGCCGATTGGAACGCGCGCGCCTTCGGTGCCGGCGGTTGCCCGGAGAAGACAGCGCCCCGTAATGTTCCATGGGCCGTCGCATCTGCATGTGTGCAACCGCCGTCGGCTGTGGCGCGTCGCTCCCCCCGCCCCTTGCCACCCCGCCCTGGTAAGAGTGCGGGTATCTTTCGCGCTCGAGCATTCTGCCCCATCGCCCATCCAACGTATGACGTCATACCATCCCAGCCCTGCTGGTATCGACCCCCCCGCCATCATCTGCAATATATATATATATATATATATATATATATATATATATATATATATTGCGCGCGCGCTCTTTTATGACGCGTTATGAGTTTTCAAGAACCCCTTGCAGGAAAAGGGCGAAATTCGCACGCGCGCGTCGTAGCGCGCGCATGCCGACATTTTCTTAGAACGTTCGGTTGGCAAACATTAGAAACAAGCGCGCGCTCTTCCGAGTTCTCAGGGAAACCAAAGAAGTTGTCAACCTATATGAGAAATGCGACTAAAAAGGGCATCGCGCGCGCAGGTCGGAATCGTTCGAACGCCTTTGTTCGCGTGCCGTCGCGAGAAAACTTTGCGACGCATGGGGCGAAGTGCGCGCGCGCGTCGTCGCGCGCGCATGCCGAAACCCTTTGCACATATGTGATTTCGTAGCGATTTCAAAACCGAATGCCCCAAACACATTCAACAACACAGGGTTTCGCAACAGCAGTTACCACAGATGCTTGCTCGCGCGCTCTTGCGAATTCTTGAGAGAACCATGGGTTTTCAACGTCTTCGCGGAATTCTGCCAGACGGGCTTCGGGCGCCGCATGCCGACATCATTCGCGCGCCCTTGCGCGCGCTGGGGGTTGGGTGTGGGGGGGTGGGGGGGGGGGGGCGCGATCCGCGTCGGATGAAACTGCGCGGGCCGCTCTCGCGCGTCGGCCGCGCGCGCGTCGAACTCCTTCCAAAACCTTCATCGCCGACGCGAGGGCGCCGTCATCGTCGACGGCGTGGTCCGCATCGGCGCCCGCGCTGGCCACGCCTTCGTCGGTGCGAGCGTCGTCGCAAGCGTCGCCACTATCATCGTCGCGTCTACCGTAGTCGGCGTTGCAATGGTACCGCGCCCGCCCAACTCGCCGACTTGCAGTGAAGTGCCCGCTGGGATGCACCCGGCGGCCAGCGCCGCCACGGCCGCGTCGGTGGCGCCAAACTAGCGGGCCGCTGCGCGCGCGTGTTGGGGTTGTCGCGGCCGCGGAGATACACCAGCCAACGCTCAGCACTCGCCGCAATCGCCGCCGCGTGGGTTCTGCAAGCCCAGTTGCGGGTGGGTGCGTGGGATGTTTGCAAGAGGTTGGGATGTGTCAATTCATGGATAAAAATTAGTTGCGCCGCGTAGATTGCACTGCATAGGCTGCGTCGCGTAAATTTCTAAAAGGAGATAGGTTCTCCCCCCCGGACTTATTGACTCCCCGGGAGCCGATGCAAAACGCGCATGACTCTGACCCAATGTTCATCCGACCTGTGAATGAATATTATCCCAGCCAGGGCGGTATCGGCCACCCCTCGGTTCCCTTGCAGAACAAATTATTCGTGCTCATTCGTTTATCAAGAATCATAAGTTTTCAAGAATGCCTTGCGTAACAAGGACGAAGTTCGCACGCGCGCGTCGTAGCGCGCGCATGCCAGAATCCTTCCAAATCTTTCGACTTCGGAAGGACATCAACATCGAGTGTCCAAACCACATGTAAAAATCAGGGTTTCGCAACGCGGATTTTGAACAAAAGCGTGCGCGCTCGCTTTTGCGATTTTTAGGAAACATGGCGTTTTCAACATGTTCATAACATGTTACCAAACGGACTTCGCGCGCGCATGCTGAAATCGTTCGAACGCCTTTGCGCGCGCGTTGGGGTGGCACGATCCGTGTCGAATAATACCATGCGAGCCTCTTTCGCGCGTCTGCCGCGCGCGCAGTTCGAATTTCTTCCACAACCTTCATCACCGACGCGAAGACGCCGTCATCGTCGTCGGCGTGATCAGCATCGGCGCCGTCACTGGCTGCCCCGTTGTCCTTGTCAGCATCGCCACCGGCATCGCTGCTATCATCATCGTGTCTACTGTTGTCGACGTTGCCATGATACCGCGCCCGCCCAAGTCGCCGACTCGCATTGAAGTGCCTGTTCGGATGTGCCGAGCGGTCAGCGCCACCGCGGTCGCGTCGGTCGCGCCAAACTAGTTGACCTTTGCGCGCTAGCATGTGCGGGCCAGCGCGGCCGCAGAAATGTACCAGCCAACGCCCAGCACTCATCGCAATAGCTCCCGCATGGTTTTACAAATCAAGTTGCGGGTGGTTGGTTGGGATGATTGCGCGAGCAGTGGAAATGACAATTTCAAATTTTGCAATTGAGTTGAATTTCGTAGATGACGCCGCATAGATTGCAAGAGCCTGCTGTTTGGGGCCCGCACTGGCTAACATGATAGATTGAACCTCCAATGTTTGTAACAAGTAGTACCGATCCCTCATTCCGCCCCGCCCACCCCGCCCACGCAGTACCCTTACTTGGGGCCCCAACCCCATCCCCCCGCACGGGTAACGACTGCCACCGGAAGTCATACAAAAGTCAATATCGGCCTCCAGGGTTGCAGGCTCTTTGGGGCCCGGGTTGTTTGCCATCCTGCAGCCTTGCTCTCCCAAGGATGCTTGGGAACTTCTCGGCAGCCCGCGCCTCCAGAAAACAGTCGCGACGCGGGAGGTCCGTGGGCTCGCCTCGGTCACCTCGTTCGTTCGTAGCTTGAGGCAGCGGTTCGTTGCAGCTTATGCCAAAGAATAGGAAACAGCGAGAGAAGAGAGAGCGAGAGAGAAAACACGCAAATTAGACCAGGGGTCCCAAATGCCAGGGGCCCCGCCCTTCCTCCCCGTTGGCAGCGCCGCGCCGGCCCGCGCACCGCGAGGCCGCGGCAGTTCGGCGCGAAATAGGCGGTGGGGGCTCCTTCGCCTCGGTAGCAAGCGGGTCCTGAGCGGAGCGGGCGCCGAAGCTTTGCATCTTCCTCGGGCGCCTGCCGGCCGCGCGCGGAGGGGGCCAGGGGGAAGGGGGATAGGTTTCTCAGAAACACCCCTGCTCCTTAGAAGGAGCGGGCCTTGTCTATAGATGGAAGGCCGGCGCCTTCAGAGAAGCAGCCTCCTGCTTAGACGCATCCCCCCATCCCCCCTTTACCCGATGGTGCGCGCCGCCAGCCCTTGGGCCCTCCACGGGCCCGCGGACCGTCAGAAATCGGCGCAGAATGAAAAGCGGGTCCCGGGGTAAAAGGGGGCCCCGATGTCTCGGACCCGTTTCATTCAGGACCCGTGTCTTTCATGCCAAGTTTATGCTCCACCTCGCCCTCTCCGTTTGTCCATGGGCTTCTTTCTGTGCGCCCTGTTGTCCTCGTCGTGCGAGCACTTGTTGCTCGTGTTCCACGCGTGCCTGTCACAGGCGAGGCATGCGTCACTCACTCGGGTTGTTTGGTTGCTGAGACTCATTAGCGGGAGGTGTTCGCAGGAGGCAAGGAGTTTTGGAAGGATGCGCCAGCCCCCTGCTTGCCCTACGTTCACCCCCCGCCCCAGATTCCCCCTCTGGAGACCGCGTTCCCGTTAACAGCCAACGCTAGTGTTGCCGCCACTTGCCCCGCCCAATTTCCGCTGCACCCTGTACTCTCCCTTCTGCTCCCTCCCCTGCGCTCCGAGGTTGGGGGATGACGCCTGCAAAAGCCTCCGACGCTGGGTTTCGTGCGTGCACTCTGTCTCCTCTTTGTCCTGCTTGTGCCCGCCTTCCGTCCGTCCCCCCCCCGCTGTTTCCCCCTGCCGTGCCTACCTGCAGCCCTGCTCTGGCAGGTTGTACACTTTCGGGCCGACGCAGGAAGGCACTCCAGACGTGGAGCGGGGGCGGAGAGCATGGGTAGGCCACGGGACGTCAGAGCTGTAGGCCATGGGTTACCAGTCGTGGGTGGTTTCTTCTGCTGGGATGGGTGGGCTGTGCGGGTTCGTGCGGGGCAGGCATCCTGGGCGGTAGCGGAATCGAGGGCGTTGCCTCTCTTGGGGGATTGTGTCGCGCAGATGGCGGCGGCCGGCTCGCGCGCTGCCGTTCTCAGCCCGAGTGGCTCGCCTTTCTCTGCCAGGCATGGCGCGCGCGAGCCGAGGGCGGCGGCCATGTCTCGTGGCACGTGGCTGTCATGCGGAGGTCGCCCGCTGGGGCAGTTTTCAAACTTCGCGCGGCATAGCTGGGGATGGAGATTAGGCGATGATGCTGCATTCTGATGCTGCATTAGCACTTGTGTTTGTGTAGCGCACTGAGGTTGCAAGGAGGCTCACTCGTTGCACTTGACGCCAATCAGGAGGGGAGCTGGAGGTTGACGGCAGCGTGTCACTGCTTGCGCGCACCGTGGCTCTCCTTCTTATTGTTTCCTAGGCTTAACCTTGTTTTTGTGAACCTGCGAATGGGTTGAACCTGCCTGGGCCTCGCTGTTGCTGGTCCATGCCTCGCCGTCGGTGGCAGAATTTCTTTGCAAAGCTTTCTTCGCAACTCCATCACACCGTTATAGCTTGGCTTGTTTTCGTGTGCACGTCTAACACATACATTTGCTGATGCTGTCGCCAATTCGGGGGGTCACCGGACGGGCAGCACAGCTGGTTTTGCTTAAAAAATAGCGTAGCTAGCCATTTGAACAAAGTGGCAGCTTCACCAGATGATTCGACGAAATACTAAATAACGCTAGCTATCGTTGCGAACTGTTCGGGGGGACAAGTAACAAGTGCCATACCACCATGCTGCTGCGAACTCATTGCGGCAGTGACCTTGGTACGCGAGAGGGGTCGCCCAAGGTGATGCGAATCATTACGTCAAGCAGGGGGCCGGCGACGGCGTGGTTCCGTTGCCCAGGTTTGCGGGAAGCTGGCGGCTCAGGGTGGGCCGTCGGCGGGCTGGTTCCCTCCGCTTGCCTGGTGCTGTCTCACCGGTGCTTGGCGCGATGACCGCCGCTGTCAGGAAGTGCCGTCCTCGTGACGGGTTGCCGCCACGGACGTGCGGGCACGCTTAGTGCTCTCCGTCGTTCCCGTCCTCCCTCCTCCGTGGCTGGAGTGTGGCGCTGCGCGTGCCGGCCGTGGTGTTGGCCTCGTGCGGCAGGGCCTGCCCGTTGCCCTGTCGGAACCGCTGGGCGCGCTCCAGGAGTTCCTGTCGGCCTTCGGCTTCTTGTGCTCGTCGGCTTGGACAGCAGAAGCCTGGAGCCGAGGAGGACGAGCGTCCACCCTTGTTGGGTGCTGACACGGTTGCCCTGCTCGTGGCCGCGCTTGTTCCGCTGGAGGGGCGTCCGTGTCTCTGCACGAAAGAAGCGTGGTACGTCTGGCAGGGTGGGCGCGGACCTGCGCAGCCCTCCTTGCAGGTCGACGGCTCCCGTTGGTTTCCCAAACCTCTTCGTCTGGTCCTTCTCGCTGGACTGGGGCCCTCGTGCATTGTGGTCGGCCTCTGTGCTGAAGATGCTTTCGCTGTCGTTCGCGGGCGCGTCTCCTCGTCCTCGCTGCCGCTGCTCGAGCCTCCCTCCCCTCTGCCTCCTCTGGCTCTGTCGCCGCCGCTGTAAGGGCCTCCTCTTCCCCTCGGGCGCCTCCTTACCTCCTGCCTGCTTTCAGGGGGTCTCCTCCAGCGCCGTGGCGCGTTTCTGGCCTGCAGGGCTTCGGGGGCGAGGGCGGGTCGGCCGCCGCCACGCCGCAGGGTTGCGCATTTCGTTTTAAAATTGCACCCGTGCCGTTGCTGAGAGTCTGGGCAACGAGTTGCGGAGGCCGCCGGCCGCGGAGTCCCTAGAGGACAAGATTGGGGTCACTATGAAGTGCACCCGGGCCTCCGAGAAAGGATACTGTAATGACATCTCAGCCTGACTGGTCCGGTACCCAGTGCTCCGGGACTTGGTGGGCAACCCGTGCCACGTCCACGGCAATTTGTCCCGGCACCTCCAGAGAGTCAAAGACCACGTGGTCCAGCTCGCCCGCGAGCACGCGATCGACAAGCTGGGGAAGTCGCACACGGACCTGACGGGAGGAAACGAGCAGCGTGCCAGGCAGGCCCGGCAGAAGAATACGCGATTGATTTTTCGCAGTGCGCCAGGTCGGACCTGCAATCTTGGGGCGGTGCAAACCCGGCGCGGAGAGGTGGTCGTCGAGCCGAGCGCCATGGCTTCTGAACTTCGCTCGCACTGGGCAGAAACACTAAAGGCGTCGCAGATCGACCGCGCCCTCCTCCAAGCCTGGCTGGACGACGATCGCGACGACAGACGGCAACAGGACGTCCCCGACACGACCCTGCGCGACCTCCGCCTGGAGCGGGAGCATGTCCGCGAGGCCGTGCTGAGCTCGAACATTTCCGCACCAGGCCCGGACGGCATTCCATTCCTCGCTTGGCGCCGAGCTGTGCACCTGTCTGTCGAGGGTCTCTTCGACGCCGTCCAGGCGATTTGCGGGGAGGGAGGCCCGGACCTCACGAGCGAGGAATACGAGGACTTCCACAACAGTTTGCTCTTTTTCTTGCCGACAAAGCTCTCAGGACACACCCCCTACGGGGAAGGGGTACTACGAGGTCGGGAACGTTCGCCCGCTCAACGTGACGAACACCGACAACCGGCTCCTCGCCAACGCGGTTCGTTTGGCGATAAAGCCCTTGGTGGGCTCCCAGGTCTCCCCAGTCCAGCGGGGTTCCCTTGGGGGCCGGTCGATGCTCGCCAACCTGGTGGATATTGACGAGGCCATGGCCAGCGGCGCATGTTCTTCGGAGGACGGGGGCGCCATGTTCTACGACTTCGCGGCGGCGTTCTCTTCGGTGGAACATGAGTTTATGCAGGAAGTGTCCCAGGCCTTGGATTGGCCTGCTTGGTTGCTCAGCTTGGTCTCCGTGCTCTATGCCAGCAACTGGTGCCAGATCGTCCTGGGCGGCTGCCGACACTGCGGTTTCGCGATCAGCAGGGGCCTTCTGCAAGGCTGCCCGCTGTCGCCGCTCCTGTTTGCCGTCGCGGAGGACGTCCTATTGAGGAGGGTTGTTCGGCTGATCCCTGACGGCACCCTCAGAGCATACGCGGATGACACGGCATTTGTGTACCCCAGCATCTGGAAGGTCATCGGCCGCCTCCAAGCCATCTTCGAGGAGTACGAGCGCATTTCTGGGCTGGCGCTCAATGTGTCCAAGACGGTACTGGTTCCGCTCAGCCCGTTCGATCCGGCCATCATTCGTGCGCGCTTGGCGGTGCTCGCGCCCCTCTGGGGGGCGTTGAGTGTGGACTCGAAGGCCAAGTGTCTGGGTTTCTACGTTGGCCCCGGCCGGGGCCTTCTATCATGGGGGGCCGCTTTGAAGAAGTTCACTGAGAGGGCGCGGCTATGGGGCACGTTGGGTTTGGAATTGTTTCACACGGTGGACGCCTACAGGGTCTTCGTCTCCTCCGTGCTGGTGTTTGTTGCCCAGCTGGATCCTTTGCCTGCTAATTTCGACGACTTCGAGTCCAGAGCCTGCCGCTCGCTCTTCCGAGGCCCACCCGACTGGATGTCGACAGGGTTCTTCAAGGGCATGAAGGTAGCAGCGTTTCCGATCGAGCTCCCAGACATGCAGGTATCCTCGCTGGCTGCCCGCGCCCGCGTCGTGGCCCACGAAAACGCTGGCCATGGAGGGCTGCAGATCGCTCGGCGGGCCCGCTCTTTGAGGCTGGCGATCGCGAGCGCGGGCAGCCATTTCTGCCCTGCCTTCTGCGCGGAGTGGTTTAGCGGTTACTTCGTCTTCTCGTTAGTCACGGTTTCGGCGGGGCCATGGGAGACAGGGCCAGTAGGCAGGCTCATGTTGCAGGCTGGGCACGAAGAACACAGACGGATTGGATGGCAGGCCCGTGCCATCAAACTCCTGCTCGCCGCCGACTGGACCAATGGCACATCCAAGTTCTGCCAGGGCACCGCGTTGCGAGATGGTT